ACATATAATTTATCGAAATCGCACAAACACGCCTCTTGGAATAGTGCGCGTGCGCAAGAACAGTCGCGGCCGCGTAACGATTGCGCATGGCTGCGTGCGCACTCATGCGGGCAGCAATTGAAGTTTGCAGACTCAGAGCACGGACCCGCTGGAGGAATTCCGACAAGTGGAACAGTGCAGATAGAAGTACGACTCCTTACAACTCTTCAACGCAAATACATCCACCGCAACAATCATTAAAAAGTTAATTATTCAAGTCTAAGTCAACTTGGCAGCTAATAGCGATAATATTTCTTTTAACTCGTCTTTCGCATGACCACATAACTTAATTGCTGAAGAGGCCTTTACGTATTTCCAGGTGCCTATTTTTTATCGTAAAACTTCATTTTGATCACCCTGTATTAGGGTAAATTCGTTTCACAATTTGTATACTGCTCTGCCAGCGCTACACATGGCCAGGAAAGTCTGTAACAGATATGAGAGCAGCGCGGAAGTTTTTGAAAGCACGTAGCACTCTCTCCACGCAGGCTTGTACCGAGCAGCACTACGCGGCCCATGTGACGAGAGACAAAGAGCACGAGGTGATGAGCACCTACGATGGAAGCGCAGGACTGGCATTCGTGTTCGACAGCGAGCTGACGCTGTATGCAAAGGCGAGTGTCCATCGCATGTTGCGTCCGTTTCCACCCCTCTTTAGCTGTGAAGCAGCTCTTTGACTCACGTGTGTAACGCCGTACGTACAGTGCGTCCATACGAACACGCCGCAACGCAGTCCCTCGATGCAGGTGTTGGAGCGGTGCCAAGTAGGCCACGCCACAGCTGCGCGTTTCCGTCACTCTCTCCCTCACCTGCCGCGTGCTTACCTAGGCGCCCACAGCTACCGCCTCGTCCATACGACCGCAACACTTGCCGCTACCACCGCTCGCTACACCACTGACTCGTCGGCTCATACGCAATAAACCTGACGCGCGCCTAACGTACGCGTTGAAGCATGTCTGTACGTGTCACAAGACCTACGCCAGACATCGCTTCAAACGAATTGTCCAGCGCTCACCGCAGCACCCGCATTAGTGCCGTTCAAACCATAACACGCCACCCACGCGCAACGCTGCTGGTTCGCATACCATCGGGGTTCCCTTTGAGAAAATGATGTGATTTTTACTATGTCTTTTGATAATGGAATGTCATCACTAGGTGTACGCAGGGTTCCTCATTAGAGGCGAAGAAGGGGGTAACGTTTCATCGCAGCGCCCTACCTCTCCACTGGTGGTCGAGTCCAAGAGACGGCACGCGCTTCACAATGAGATTAGAAAATGAAAATGATACAATGACGCGTGCCTTCCAATGACCTGCCTTTAGATCCTGGCTTTCTGGAGGTAATAAAATATGGGAAATAAAGAGTTCTAGTTATGCAACATCGGAAGCCTTCAGCTTTCATTATCGCCAAGAACTTGCGTGGTCATAACCTTTCTCTTCAAGCAATGACGGAACAGGAACGTCGCATGAAGGTGTGGGGCAAGCTTTGGGCCACCACCTTAGGTTAGAACTCAGTCGTCCCACCCCATTCCCTTTTGGCACGTGCGCCTATGCATGTCATCACAACCAGGAAGTAAACAGCAGATTCAATGACAGATGTAACATGATGATGGTGGCAGTTGTGTGCTGGGCCTGAAGAAAGGGGGTACCCATGACCAGGATTTGGGGATATTTGTACGTAGCGTCATCTCTAGTCGGCGAAAGCCTGCCATAACTGAATGGAAAATAGGCGAGAAAAATAGCTGATGAAAGAAGCGAGTTATAAACGACTCCAGGTTAAAATTACAATGTACTCTGCCAGCCACGTGGCTTCCCAGAGAGTTTAATACTTAAAAATGTGGTCCCGCCCAGTCAAAAAATTTCCCCAGACCAATTAAAAATTTAAGATTAGGTCCCATTGGACCCAATTAAAAATTACCAATCGTGTTTTGGGGCACCAATTGGAAAATTCCGAAGGGTCATCTCATTAGGTTTGATTGAGCCTGACCAACAAAACCAATTGGTGACACAATCAATGTCCAAATGAATTGACCAATTATACTAGCAGGTGAACCCAGTTCACCTATTGGAAACAGCACAGAGTTACACTTGGATGACCAATTGTGTTAGTGGGTATAACCAACTGAAACAATCGGTAGCATAAACTTAATTCAAATGGTTTGACCAATTAGGTTGATTAATCAAGCCAATCTCTCCAATTGGAAACACCGTGTAGCTCTGAATTAGGGGCTTACCTGTTAATCTTGTAGGAGGTGTATCAAAATTTAAAAACCATGTAACATGTTGGATTGCGTGAACTTAGCATTAGTGAAGGCTGTCACGATCATCTCTTTGAACACAACCTCTCTTCACATGCCAGTAATTACAGCCTAGTAAGTTGTGCCAGGTCCCAAGAACAAATGAGTCATTTTTGTGGCTCATTGTAAAGTGAACAGATGAAATAAATGACCCACCTTGTAGACCATATTTAAATGTAAAGATATTTTATTTCAGGAGTATAGATGTATTTGCAAACATGTTTCTATGGCCTATTTTCTCGGTTTACAGCTTTATTAATTTCTGTGATGTCCAACTGAAACCAATTGGCAATTAGTAAAGTCCATTTGGAATCAATTGGTGGAATTCTCATTAGAACCATACCTGGTGTATAGGGTCCCTAGCGCATTCCCATTTATAAATTCTACTACGAAACTCTCGATTAATCATTCGATCAACCTAAACCCTCGCACATTTCTCTCGACTGAATAATACATATAATTATATAGATTCAGTTTGTGTAATGAGTCATACCAGGAACTGTCCTATATAGAGCACCATTTGGACGTATAACAATCTCCAATTAGTTTTATATATAAAAATTTCAAATCGAAGGCCTAATATTAATTAACACATAGACTGACCTCAATTTGAATCGCACAAACACTTGGATTATCTGAAATTCCAAAAGGGTGGTGAAATGGAACATTTGCACCAGTTGTCATGATCATTTGTACTATCCCATTCCAATCGCGCTATCCCATTGAAGTTCAAGGTCCCAATTGGATTTACCTAATCCCATTAAAAGACAATTGGAATGGCCAGTTGGACCAAGTGAGTTTTTTTTTTTTTTGCCGTTTTGGGGGACCACTTGAAGAAGAGCCAATGGGCTAGCATTCAAATTGGACACTGCATAGCAACCCATTGCAACCTGTTGGATAATGGGTCACATCAACCGGGACAAATTTAAAAACCAATTCGATTTCCCAATTGGTGTCAATGTTTTTTTTTTTTACTGGGCATGTATTTTCAATGGGGGCAGTTCAATTGTCCTGGGAAGCCACAATTTGTAGTGCGATACTGAAATTTCACCAAAATGTTCCAGAAGGTCTCTGCTGCATATAGGTGCCGGAGCCGATTGCGATAATTAACAAGCCTAATTGAAGATATATGATTTTTCGCCTATTTACCATTCAGTTATCGCAGAGGGCCATTGCTGCCCTGCCACTGAGAGACTGCGCCCCGTACAGATATGTGGCCAAATCCTTGGAATGGGGCACTTTCAAATTCCGTATATTTCAAGCATACTGACAAATTACTCCATTGCTCAGGTGTGCAAGGCCCGGAATGCCCTGGAGGACGTTGGACCCGTCGGTCTGGCCGTCTATGACGCTGAGTTCGACGACTGGTCCAACAGCTGCAGAAGCTGGAACAAGCTTGGCAACTACACGCTCACGCGCGCCGCACGCAAGACGGTGGACGCTATAGAAAACGCCAAGCACGCACAACTGGACTGTGCCACGTTGCCGAAGTAAATGAACGCACATGCTCATCAGGGTCAATAAATCAATATTGCCAACTGGGTGCGCCTCTTCAACTAAATACACAGTCCCGGTTTATAAGGGGTCCTACAGAACTTGTGTAAGCGGCCTTCCGTGACTGGGATAAAGGTGCAGTGGAGCGCCGGGACATTGTGGAGTGCAGATTCTTCGTTGAGCAGAGAGAGAGAGAGACAAAATTTTTTACCTTGCTGGAGTCAAGGGAGGTGGGGCCGGTCAGACTAGCCCTGCCTCTTTCTCGGGCTACGGCCAGACCTTGAGTCTTGGCGGCGTCATTGGCCAGCTGGACTGCCCAGAGATGGTCATCCGTGCACGCGCTGAGCAACGTAGCCTGCTAGGGAGTGGTTACCCTGAACGTAGGATTGGTACCAAGTTTGATTGTGGGTCACTGTGAGATATGTTCATATAATAATGAATTCAATGTTGATGCTAGCCGCTCCGCAAGCTTTGTATGTGGTGTATAAACATGTGGGTATATGAGACTATAGCGGCCGGTGTGGGTGTGTTCGTGTATGTAATAATCGCCATAGTGCTTATATAGACTGGTGCGATTTGATTTTATATAGACTGGTGCGATTTGATATAGGTGGGCGTTCAATCTTATTCTACGGTAATGCACAAGAATTTCACCATTAGGGACCATTCTGCCTTTCGCGTGGCTGCACCAGTGCTCGGCTACCTCGTCTTCGGCTTGCCGGGCTCGTCTGGAGGGCATGTTTTGGTGACCAGTGGCGCGCCCGTTGGACGATTTCTCGGGCAACGTCGTGAACAGCTTCGTTCATGGCAAGGCCTGAATGGCCCGGAGCCCAGAATAAATGAACTTGGCGGCGGCGAGATGTGGATGTGCTTTCGAGCATGCGGCTCGCTTGCGGTGAAATTAGGCCCGTGGTTAGGTGGCGGTTAGCCGTCTTACTATTACTTACGACGTTACAGGTGGTGGTCGCCGCCTGTGCTAAAGCGGTGACAGTTTCTTCACCCCATTCGGATTGTGTGGTGAGCACCGTGGCTCTAAATGGGTTAACTGCGCTCATAAAAGCGCACAAAAAAATGAAAATGCGTGCACAAAAAAAAAAACGAAACCGAAACCAAAATATTGCTGGCAGATACGTTGCTAGCCAAGTGTAGAACGCTAAAGAGTCGACGCAATCCGAAGTGTCTGCAGTGTTTGATCGTGTTTACAAACGCGCTTTCTTTGATTTATACGGTGTGTTATCGGTGAAATCGTTAGTGCTACAATACAGTATGTTTCCACTCCACGGCCGTATCTACGCGGACTGCAAGCGCGATTTGGTATTGGAGTTGCTAGAAAAGTTAAAATCCAAGAAGAAAAATGAGCGATCTGAGGCGCCATGCGTACGTGTTGAAGAACGCTGCGAACCGTTGTTTCACTTCTTTCCCCGGGAATCTGAACCGGAACCATTTGGGATGTTCTCGACGTGGAAATGTCTGAAGACGAAGAAAAGCTCGAAGAAATTGTGCCTAGCAGTGGTCTTTCGAAAAAAGGACCCGATAGGGACGAACTCGAAGTGTGTGGGGCCCCGGACGATTTGACCGACCTTCCAGAAGACGTTCAGGTAGCAGGGTGTTACGCTATATACCATCAGATTTTTTCATGCGAGGATGTTTAAGGCTGATTGCTATTCGTTGCAGCTAAACATTTCGAAGATTAAGGAGGCGCTACACTCATGCGACGAGACGAATATTCGCACAGCTGACCTGTCCTTCATGGTTTCTGCAAAACCAGAGACGGTACGAAAAAAACATTACATATTCTCTACACCTGTATTATGAGGTGGCATAGGCATTGTTTCTAACGTGGTGACCTCGGGTGTTTTCAGGTCGCAGCTGTTTGTGATGAACTCGAGACAGACGCTATAGCTGACGCAAAAATGCAGCTACTGTTGCGTTCATTTTCAGAGTTGAAATCGGAGATGAGCCTCATCAATGGTGTCGTTTTCGTGAAGTGCGCACTCCTGCCTAAGGTACAGTGATGCCTTGTGTTCACTCATACATAAGAACTGCGCCCAGTAGTACTGCTGAAGTCTCATAGCAAACCTAGCAAGTGCACTTTACCGCTTGGCGAATTACCGAAAAGTGTTGCCACAGTGGCGAAAGCATGTCTGAGCATTAACTTGCGAATTTCGGCTATTATTTATTGTTTCTCGACGCCTTTCTGTGTGGGACAACTTGCACGAAACATATTTTGAGAAGTCTCAAGTTGTAGTCAATGGCTTGATTAATTTTGTAGAATGTAGTAGTTTTGTATTAAGAAGCTGTGTGCCTTACTGTAATTTCTTTCTTAGGTTGCTAACTTGGAAGAAGGCACTGCAGCACGTTCTCTCATAGATTCAATCACAGCCTTCGCACAAGGATATGCCACATGTGACAGTTGAAGGCCTTCTAGTCCCATTGGTTTCTGCTGAGAGCATGGGTTAGTCTACAAACATATTATGTATGTACATATGTCTGTCCTTAGTCATGCTGTAACTAATATTGTGGACCTCGTTACCTGAAATCATGTCGTGGCTTTTCTATGTTTCTTATATAGGCAAGGCACAGACTGATGTTGTACAGACACTTATCAAAGAAGGAATACCGAAAGACTATGCTGCAATGTGCTTGAGGTACTTATTAGCCATTTACATATTGAGTACCAAATTTGTGCTCTTTGGAACTTGGTATGGAGAGTGTTCTTCAAGTCATTTTACTTATTTTTATCCAAAGAAACCTGTAGTTATACACAAAACAGTGTGTTATGTAATGCTGTATTTTTATGTATTCTATGACATAATTAAAATATGCAGCCTTTTCGTGGTGAAAATAGTAAAATTGTTTGCTGAAATGAAGTGCTCATCAGGAAAGCCAATATGTCATCACTGGACTGATAAAGTATTGTAGCATTTACATCCACTTGTTATTTACTTCACTCATCAATGTACTGTAAAAAGGGTGAAGCACAAATGATCTCAACAACTATCTTAGTGTGTCATGCCAATTCACTTGCATTTTAGGCTCAAAAACTTACGCATAGTAATACTCTGTGTTTAAAAACTGGCTGTGCAGTGGTTACACATTGCATGTCCATGTAATTACGTGTCAAGGCGGTTCTGTTTTCCTCCATGCTTCAACTTATGCTGATGGTACATAACTTGGTGATGCTGTGATGTTGCTGGTCAGAATGAAATTTAAGTAACAGTCTCACTGTTTTTGAGTGTAGCACCTTTTGAAAATAATCCCACTTATGTTGTGCTAAAAGCCCACTGTGATTCAATATTCTGGAGCACCCAGTCTAGCTGTGAAGGTTGCGGCCAAGTGACAACATAAGGACAATGTTTGAGAGCTCATAATAGCCAAAATCAGTTATTCCGCAAACAGTCTTATTAGGCATTCTTTATGAATTCGCTGCTTGCCCTAAAGCATATAAACTGCTGAACAATGCAATTCTGCTTAGTTGTACAACAGTGTGTTGTCATGAATTCGATTGATGTCTCAGCACGCTGTGTAACACAACACACACTGTGCAGGAGAATGCTGCAAGAGTCAAGGACCTGTATTGAAACCAACGTCACCTTTGTTCACATATTAATCCTCAAGAGGGTAAGAACTGTAGAACTAAATACATTGCTTTTCGTAAAGAAAAACTGTACCTGCATATCTCTCCAGGGTCCACTGGAAAGTGTGTTCGCAGAACTAGTCAACTGGCTTGCTAGTGTCAAAGATGAAAGAAGTACGGACAGCAAGTTTTCAAAGCTGCTAATGGATTTCGTCAGCTTTTATGGCCCACAGGTAACACCCTCTTTTGTGTGGTTTTTCCGCATAGCTGTCAGAATGTAATATGCGACACCATGGAGTGACGTATGCATAGTAAACTCTTCTTTCTTGTTTCCCTTCTTCCCTAACAGATGTCATCTGCTTGTTTGGACAGCGTTGTGAAAGTTGTCAGTGCAAATAGGACATTGCTGAAGGAAGCCAATCCAGAACATGCTCACGAAACTTACTGCGTGAATGCACACCTAAGATAAGATGCATGCTGCTTATCATAGCACTGATGTGACCTTGGCCATGTTATTGCACTATGCACTGCATTATATTAGCTGTTATTTATTTTAGAAAATCTTTATTTATATACAAATGTAATAAAAAGCAAAGACCTATTGCGTACAACCATCTTCCTTTTTTTTTTCTCTCTTGCACAAAATTTTCTTTATGTAGTACTGTTACATGTTCATATAGCCCCTTATGGTGAGAATATTGTCACAAATGTGTTATTTGTACCTATTTAATATGTCTCGCGGGAAATTTTCTGTAATTAATGAAGAAACAATCTGCAAGAAAAGGAGAACATGTCTTTGTAGAAAGACCTTTGGTAAGTTGCCGTCTCTGCTGAGTTTCTCTCCACTTCCGACACATCCTGTGGCTATCGGGAAGTCTAATTTGTATTTTTGTGAGCGCAGTTTGTGGGTTTGTCAGATAAGCCTGCGCCAAAAGGAAAAAAAAAGAAAGAAATGCGTGTGGTTTCGGGGGTATTCAGGTGCCGTTTCCGTAGAAGTGCACCACCTGCGAAAGAATGGGGGGGGGGGGGGGGGCTTAAATTTTTGCCTACCTCCTCAAAAGCAAGCATATTCATAACAGCGCATATGTTCCCATACTTCCCGCTACCTTAAAGAAACTGACTTGTCGGGAGTTACCCCCCGCCTTCCACCAAAAAAAAAAAAAAAAAAAAAAATTCCCCGCGCGCCGCTCTCGTTGCTATAGGCTAGCTTGAAGCTCTCTAATGAGCGGGTGCTTAATTAGATCGCGTCAAGACTGCTACAAATGAGAGAAACTAAGGAAACCTCGCGAGAAAGTAACGCAGGTAGCTCCTTTCTCATCGTATGCAAACCACTCCGAAGTTACCCGCTTCGATCTTTCCGGCGTCGAGGAGGGGGCACGTACGTACTGGTTCGCGCGCATGCAGTGTGAATGCCCTCGTGCTTGATGGGCCGGGACCAGTGAGCCACATAAATGGAACCAGGCCGCGTCGATAAGAGAGAGCGCCGTCGATGCTTCGGGCAGGTCAAGTTCGAAACGGAACCTGCTGCTGCCGGCCGACGCATCCCAGCTGCGTGCGGCTTCGAGGCGACGGCCGCGAGTCGCATTCTCTCGTCGAGCCCAGTTGGCGGAGGAGATGGGCGAATCGCTCCGCGTTTTCACTCTTCTGGCACTGGTCGCGTCGACGACATCCCTCATCAGGTGCGTGCGATCGTCGTACCTCTGCAAGCTTCTAATCCCCCTCCGCACTCCCCCCCCCCCCCTTTTTTTTTTCTAGCTAGTTCAAGTGGCGCTTCGAACGTCACCCGAAAGTAAAGCGAAACTACTAGCGCAAGGCTGCAGATTAACCAATAAATCGTAATAGCCGATATCAATAGCTTAGGCAGAATTTTTCGGCCGGGGACCGGGGTGGTGGTGGGGAGGGGTAACTATACTTTATGTATGTTCGTGGGTGCGTTTATTTGTGTGCGCTTGCAAAGCTGATAAATATGGGGAACTCCTCAGCCCCCCTGGCTACACCAGTGCCTGATATGAAAACGGCAGCGCTTACTCTCAGCATAATATCACAACCCTCCCCCATTCCTTTGGGCTCGAAAACCTTTGGTGGATCTAATTAATGTGGCTTGGTTTTGTTCTACTCATTCATACTGTGGAATGAGCAGCTCACAGATAATTATGACCACGCAAAAATGTGAACTGTGCATAGTTGAAATTCTAAATTTTGATCACAATTATTTTGTATGCCTCCCAAAATGTACACGTACATCAAATTCTGTGAGGCGTCCACCTCTTTTCCCTTCTGCAAAATGGGAAAGTTGTGCCTCTCACCTCAAGCATACTGATGTTGGGCAAGCAGTGTAGTTACTTTTACAGTACTAGTTGCTTACCATAAGTGCACAAGACATAGCAAGTCTGTATTAATTAATGTCATACGCTATCCATGTAGCCGCATTAGCCCTATAGAGGGAGTACAATATGAGTACAAACAGAACACCACTAAGCAATAAACACAGGAAAGCAGAATGGGCAGTACTTCAACCATTACCAAAATAAGCATCAATTTCTCTGTCAAAAGTTTATATAAGGTTATTTAGAATCATAGCTCAAGTAATATATTTATAACTGAATTTCACCAGAAGTGCTTGCTAAGAAACAGCCATTGTCGCTTCCACTCTGTTCCCATTTCTTTAACAGAAAGTTGTTTTTTTTATTTCTCATACAAATTTTCAAAGGGTATCGAAGAAAATACTATTTATGCAATTTAACAGCTGCATTCTTCTGTTCAGGGGCGGCACCAGGGGGTGGGAATGGATCGCCCCCCCCTCTATATTTTTGCCTGCCCCCCATTTCCACCCCTCAAAGAGGGAACATAGTCGTAACACAATAGTCAAGTTCCTCGCCTCACTGCCCCCCTCCCCCTAAAAGAACTCGCTTATCGTGGGCGTCCCCCCGGTAATGTAATCGTGGTGCTGCTTCCTGCTTCTCTTCTTTGCAGTATTCCCCTACACCGATTCAAGTCTGTAAGACAAACCTTGGGTGAAGTAGACTCCGCACTAGTTGTGGCCCAGCCGAAATACTACAGTGAAGGAGGTGCTCAACTGCCGATTCCAGAGCCACTGTCAAACTACCTTGATGTGAGTTATCAGCATGCTGCCGTTCAGTGCATCAGTTCACCAGCATGCAGGCTTCTCTTACTAAAAATAACTGTCTGGCTTTTCATTTGTGCAGTTGTCACAGTGCTCTGATTTCTTGTCTGTTTTTTCTTTCAGCTGTGGTGCATAAAAAGTGCTTCAGCACTGTGTTTATAGTTATTTGCATATGATGCCTCATTCTATACTATACCACAGAAGCATTGCATGCCACCTCTGTAATGCATGAAAGTGACAATGCATGCGAAAGTTTTAATAGCAATGACTGTGACAGGGCTGATAAGCAACGAAGAACTTGGATGTTGGATTAACCACTGAAATTTATTATCTTTTTTTTGTAACATTATAACCTGGTACAAATGACATGTTTAAGCATGTTTTCTCTAGTTTCTAATTCGCATGTCGATACTTTTTTTTCTTTCTCGTCTGTCTAGGTGCTGTGAAACGTGAGTACTCACTCATTTACCTAAAGGCTTATCTTTCTCACTTTGTTGTACTTGCTTTTTGGTGTTGCTGATTGTACACAGCTGCCAAAAATAATACTTGATGGGCCGAAGATTAAAAGTAAGCAGTACCTGGTTGCTGGGCAATTTTACTGACCTATTCCACTGTAGCAATGGCTTATACTCACAAAGAAAAAAAAAATGAAAAAATCTGATATGCAAGGTCACAAGTTCATTCTTTCATTCATTGAAGATATTCTACAATGCTTTTGAGGTTGTCAATATTCAATATTTCAATCATCAGCCAATTTTCAGTATAAATCAAATCTTCTCGCTGTGATCTGTAATTACCACTGTTTTGCAATAACCAGCTACGATTTATTGCCTGTGAAGTTTTTGCTTGTGAAGCACACAATGACTCGCTGCATCGTGATGCATTTTCATGCTGTTTCTTCTTTTTGCCAACTACTGTGTGTAGATATTGTAGGATCTGTGATATTATCACTGAAATTCGATTTATTAAGTGAAAGACGAGGGATATATAGATATGAATGTCTTTACTCACATGTATCCATCTAACGCACCTTGTTCCAGGCTCAATACTATGGACCTATTAGCATAGGAGTACCTCCGCAACCTTTTCGTGTTGTTTTTGACACGGGCTCATCCAACTTGTGGGTTCCTTCGAGACGTTGCAAGTGGACCAACTTTTGCCTGTCGTAAGCTGCCATTTATACTTTGTTTAAACCCACAGTAATAACTTCCCTGGCTCTTAAACAGTGACTTATAATTTGTGGATGCTTTTTCTTTCATATACAATTTGTCTGTTGCCCGAAATGTTGAATTTTGACATGTTTAACTGCTGAATTTCTGTGCTGGGAAAAACTTTCTGCTTTTAATGCTATCATTGTAGATGTAGCTGGACTCATGTCTAGACACTGGAGCTGGTTGTTCGAGTATGCCTACATTAGCTGGTTGGTCAAAAATAGCACATACAAATATTCTGCCCACTAGAAAAAAATGGCTGAACTTGACAATACACACCAAGTTTCTGCAAAATGTAGATATAGCATCGCTAATAATGTAAGCAGTCAGTGTAAAATATTGCAGTGACTGCTCGCATTATCAAGTTTTGATATGTACAAAAGATGATTTTTCTCTAGCTGTTCATGTATGATGTGCACAAATTCCAGTAAAACATCATATTTGGATGAAAACGATTTGTTCAGGCTGTACAGTTGGAGCAAGCTGCATTCCAGTGTTGCTTTCAATCATCTAGTTATTACATCTATGCATGGGAGGAACCTGTATTCGAGAGTATCTTGCAAGAGCAAGAAAAACGTATTGTGATAACAGCAGCATTTTACCTAAATATGCTCTCAGGAGGTTCAATATCTCTTCTTCTTGTTAAGATAATCACTTACATAATCACTCACACTAGAATGATTTTGTTCTACCTGAATTCACAAAAATATGACTATTAACCCTAGTTTTTCCAATTACAGTGCTCCACAAGAAGTATGACCATACAAAGTCAAGGACGTACCGCAAGAATGGCACAGCTATATCATTGCGCTATGGCACTGGCAGCATGACTGGCTTCTTGAGCATAGACACAGTTTCACTTTCTGGTGTTGATGTGAGTGCATTTGGACATACCCATTTCTCACTGAGCAGTATTACACGGGGCCACCTATCACGCATCCTCTCAAAACTGTGCTGAAGCTAAAGATGAAGAAGCTGCAGACACTGTGGACAGACACTCGATTAAGGAGTATTTCTAAGTTAACGTTGATAGTGTAGTGGGAATTCGCAAGGCAACGACCAGTGGGACCATCTCTGAGTGCGAAGCGCGAGCATATACACGAGCTGTAGACGCTGGACTGTTCGAGTATTTGTGTCCGTACCGGCTGTCTGCCTACTATCTGGCGTCGCTAATAAACTCCCTTGCAATAGGAATAAATTCAGAGGTTTTACATGCCGCAGCCACAATATCTTTGTGAGACACTTTGTGGGGAGACTGATGTGGTTCTGGCTTAGC